CAGACAATTGCCAAGACACACCCCCCACATAGTTTCCAGCACTAAAATACAAATCACAATAAATATAACATGCATTTATACTCATATATACATTGCCAGGTCAGGTCTCTCACATAGTTCTCAAGAACAAATCTGTTGATCACAATATCAAATGAAAAACATACAAGCAACAAAAAAAACAAAAAAAAACATACATATACACTCGTGTACATTGAGAGAACACACCTCCCACATAATATATATAATATATTTATAACATTAAAGTTTTTAGTCACATTAAGTTAAAACACAAGCAACAGGTAGCACGCCTATATTCATGTATACACATGCATATGCATATACAACACACATGAAAAACAAGCAGTCAAAAAAAAGGAATAGTATTACAAAGTCACAAAATGTATGTTTTTCATTTGATATTGTGATCAACAGATTTGTTCTTGAGAACTGAGAGACCTGACCTGGCAATGTATATATGAGTATAAATGCATGTTATATTTATTGTGATTTGTATTTTAGTGCTGAAAACTATGTGGGGGGTGTGTCTTGGCAATTGTCTGTGGATCTTTAACACTAATTGCCAGCACCTGTGTTGTGTGCTCCTACTTGTATGTCTTAGATATTATGATCAGTTTTCAACCTGCTTCACCATGCCCTGAAGAAGGCTTCATGCCGCTACGCGTGGGCTTTTTAAATTTGTCCGTTTAGGACATGTCATTTGTATAATAAAGACATTTTAATGAAGGAGTGCCTCGGTCATCAGAGATTTTTTTTTCTCTGCTGTTTTAAAGTTTTTAGGAAACCCTCATTGTGTCCCATGTCTGATACTCTCTTAGGTAACACTTTAGAATACGGTACCTTCGTTAATGAATTAGAACCAATAAGTAACACAATATTAACAATCTAGTAACTATTATTAACTAACAAGAAATTCTGATTAACGAACTAGTAAGTAATAGCGCACAGATGAAAGCGGTAGTTCATAATCAAGAACTACTAATCAAGAACTACTATTTTTTTCAATGCTTCCCAGAGAACAGAAAAAGTTTATTAACAATCTAGTAACTTCCATTACCTAAAAAAAACTCTGATTAACGAACTAGTAAGTAGTACACAGATGAAAGTGTTACTACATACTTCTGTGTGAATTACTAATTATTTGGATCCGTATTATAAAGTGAAGACCATGGACCAACTAGTAATGACTAGTTAGTGAAGTGTTGAAGTGTTACTAAAGACATTTTCTAAAAGTATACCAAAAGTTCACCAAAAATCTCAATGAAATGACTTTAGTGTTTGGTTGCACAAATCATGACTAGATCATGTAGTAACACTTGAGTCATTACTAGTTAGTTCCAATGAGCTTACAATAACAGAAATAAAACACAATGCAAAGTTCCCTTCCCACATGAATACAGCACTTATATCACCCATTCCTAAACCTAACAAAGACAACACCTTCACATCCAACTATCGTCCTATCTCACTTATAAATGTCGAGATAAAAATTATTAGCAATTATTAATTAATTAATTATTAATTAGCAAAAATTATTTTAGCCCATAGAATTTAACAAATTATACCGTATATAATCCATCCTGATCAGACCGGCTTCATAAAAGGAAGACATGCATCTAATAATACCCGCAGATTATACAATTTAATGCACTACTCATCAACACAACAGAAAGATACTCTCATTGCCACATTAGACGGCGAAAAAGCTTTTGATAGGGTCAACTGGAAATTTTTATTCACCACGTTACAAAAATTTGGCTTTGGAGAGTCATTTATTAACTGGATCAAGATTTTATACACATCACCATCGGCCACAGTCACAACGAACGGACTAACATCACAAAGCTTCACACTGCACAGGGGGACAAGGCAGGGATGTCCACTCTCTCAATCCCTATTCACGATTTTTATTGAACAATAGCAGCAGCTATCCGTCAAAACCCAGCAATCAAAGGTATTGAAACACCACAACAAACACATCAAATCTCACTCTATGCAGATGATATCCTACTATATATACAAGAACCCCTAACATCTACTCAAGAAATAATTAAAACAATCCAGTCCTTCTCAAAAATATCCGATTATGCAATAAACTGGAATAAATCTTCCATCCTCCCTTTACATAAAACCAAATGGGATGTGGCACCCCATCAATCACCTATCTATATGTCATGATCACATCACTTACTTAGACATTAAGATTTCCTCCAGACTGTCAGAGTTGGTAACACTCAACTTCACACCACTGTTAAAAAAAATAGAAGACGATTTGCTCAGGTGGCTCAACCTCCCAATCTCCATAATCGGCAGGATAGCAGCAATAAAAACGACGATTTTACCGAAAAATAATTACCTATTCTCAATGATTCCAACCCACCCCACACTCACTTGGTTTAAATCACTAGACTTCATTATAACTCGCTTCGACTGGAAAAATAAAACGCCAAGGATAAAACTCACTACACTACAAAAGAGTAAGGTTCAAGGAGGACTAGAAGCACCAAATTTCCAATATTACTCAATGGCTAACCAACTGCAATACATATACAAATAGATTCACCCCACCCAATCTGATTGGATAGATATAGAACAATCACTATGCAAAGAATAAAATATAGCTGACATACCGTTCCTCACCAAATCAAACAAACAACACACGTTTTAATGCAGTAACTATAGCCGCCACTCTGACAGCCTGGTGGAAATTTCACCAAATCACAAACTCTACATTAGCTCCATCTAACCTCACTCCACTATGGAACAACCGTGACTTTATAAGCAATAAAAAAACCATTGAATTTTCACACATGGGCGGAAAGAGGCATCACCCACATTAAGCATATTTTCAAATCCAACACATTTAAACCATTACCACAACTGGCCCAGGAGTATGGTATCGGGAACAACAAATTTTTAAAATACCTACAAATCAAATCTTCTGTCCTGACAAAAATAAACATCAGAGATACAAATTTAGAACTTCCACCGGCAATATCAGACTTGGTCAACATTTCCTCTCCAAAGAAACTGCTCTCTAAAATATACAAAATGATCTCAAATCAACTTCAGTCCATATACTTACCAACAATAAAATGGGAAAACGTTCTTTCAATAGCCCCTGATGCCATCTTTTGGACCCGAATCTCATGTCCAAAAATGCGAATCTTCAGTTGATACAATACAAAATACTTCACAGAACACATTACACGGGCAATAGATTAGCTAAAATGGGTTTCACATCAGAAGTTTGCACACATTGCAATCAAAATTCTACAGATACATACATCCATGCAACCTGGCACTGCACTCCAATCAAACCCTTTTGGGAAGAGGTCACACAGTCACTATCCACTATAGTTGGCTGCCACATCCCACTGTCGCCTTCCCTTTGCTTGCTGGGAGATCTCACAATAATCACTGATAAAACTATAAACTCTAAAATACTCCTCATAGCTCTCATGAACTGGAAAACCAGAAATAAATTACACATTAACATTTCGAAAAATCTTATTACAGACTTCATTGCAATGGAACTCGCATCTCCCCTTCATCGCATCTCCCCACACATCTGAAACTGACCTCTGCCGTCCAACACTTTCTGATCTCTGAATCCTCTCTCTGTTCTTAACTCCGACTTCTCCCACCTTCTTAACCAACCCATGAAAATTTGTGCATTTTAATTGCTTGAACTTGTTTCTGTCATCATTGTTATTACTATCTTTACTGTTACTGTTATGATTACTATTTTCACTTGTATTCTTTTTGTTATTGTTTCATTTTTGTAATTGCTGTTGTTGCTGTCTTTTGCTCTCACCGTTGTGATCACCATCATCATTGTCATTTATTATTATTATTATAATTATCATCAATATTGCCATTGTCAATGCTGTATAATTGGAATGTAGAACTAGAATTAAGTGTCATTGTCATTCCTATTGCAATAACTTCCCCCCTATCTCTTCATGGGTTTTTAATGCACCACAACATAGAATAGGGGAAAAAAAAAACAAACAAACAAAAAAAAAACACGCCAAACACCAAGGCAGGCAAGACAGGTGAGAAGTGGTTTCAACAGGACAGCATCTCTGGCCCAATTTGAGACACCCTCGCACTGTACTCCCTCTTTTAATGCACTTTAGACATTGCACATAACACAAAAAACAAAACAAAAAACCCCCCCAGAAAAATAAGGAAAAGATAGGGACTGATGAGATGTGGGGGAAGGTTATCTTATATTATCTTATTATATCATATTTTATTTTATACAGGATTCACAATGGCAATTGTTACATAGGAGGAAGGATGGAAATAAAAATCTACAATCACAATATAGGCAGTATGGTGGTAGTGGGGAGTGGGATGGTGATGGTAATGACAATGGTAATAAATAATAAATGGTTACTTTGTTTACACACACATACACATACCCACACTCACACCCGCTCACATACACAATTAGATCAAACTCTTAAATCACTCTTGCCACTGCTGGAATCATGGATTTACAAGTTTGCTTACTACCGCACTATGTTGGTTTGTTTGTATGTATGTTGACTGTTAAATAAAAAAAAAAAAAAAAGTTCCAATGAGCTTCACTTTATAATACGGATCCAAATAATTAGTAATTCCCACAGAAGTATCTAGTAACACTTTCATCTGTGCATACTAATATTCACTAATACTACTTACTAATTCATAATCAGAGTTTTTTTTAGTTACTTTTTCAGTAGTAATAGTGAACTACCACATTCATCTGTGCGCTATTACTTACTAGTTTGTTAATCAGAGTTTCTTGTTAGTTAATAATAGTTACTAGATTGTTAATATTGTGTTACTCATTGGCTCTTGTGTAGTTAATCATTAACGAGGGAACCGTATTCTAAAGTGTTACCAAACTGTTACTCAAAAGGCTAATGTTTTTTCGGATGTTGAATGATTAAGGGCCATTAGGATTAATGTTATATCTTTCTGTGTTCCAGATAATCTGAATGAAGGTGCTCAGCATCTGTCTTTTGACTCTATGATGTCTCTTTCATCTCCAATGGGCCACTCTGGGCAGCGTTTTTCCAGTGACAGCAGTTGCCGCAGCATAATGACAGATGATAGTGAGGATGGTGCCTTCATGTCACCAGTATTTGATGATTCGAGTCCATTAAGCCCCACTGAGCCAAATGGCGGCTTCTTCCAGCTGGAGGGGGGGGTGTCGCGACCCCTGACAAGAACACGCAGCATTAGCCTGACCAGCAGTAACAATTCACTCTCCCCAAGCTGGGAAAATTCACCTTCATCCATGTTTGGTACCCTGCCAAGGAGAGGCAGAAGAGGTAGCGTCCGCAAGCACCTTCTGAAGTTCATCCCTGGTCTGAATCACTCTGTAGAGGAAGAGGAGGGCAGCTGAAACCTCATTCATTCTTCCATTGACTGTTGATCTGATGAATTCTTCGTGTGGACCTTGGGAAGTGGAAGGTTTATTCCATTTTGAATTCTTCTGTTCTCAAGATGTTCTAGAATTCATGTCTCATGTTTTTATGACTTACCTGCTTTTAGTGTCGATAAAAACAGGAGTCGAGTCTCACGTGAGCATTACGGACTGCATGATGCATGAATCTCTGTGTCATTTTCTGTCAATTATGACAATGCTTTATCAGGCACTATGACTTCCCAAAAATTCAGCACTGAAATAAACAACTGGCATTAACTAAACCTTAGGAAAGTTTATGATGAAAAGCAACTCCATTGAGCAAAATCTTAAGAATTATGCACATTATTTTCACTGCTCTAATTCAGTGATTTACACTTCATTCCTGCAAGCTTATGAATGTGTCCTATTTCCAACTTGATCTCTAACCAATCAAGATCTCAAAGTCTGCTGTAGCATGCAATTGATATGTGGTTGCTCAGTGGTTAGAGCAAGTAAGTTCTTAATGTTAAGTACGTGCCTTGCTGTGCTCCAAAATGTGTCAGACTGCAATTCTTAACACAATGCAAGTTACACTTTTAGTATTTCCGCAAGGGTTGCAATAGTGGGTATAGCGACAGTTTTCTCATTCAGATTTTGGTGAAGCAAGAAGCTGAAAACAACATAAACTACCTAAATAATAACACATCTGGTTTACTGGTGACTAAATGCTGGGAGTCATAAAATGCTATGAACCCATAGATTTAAATGTGTGGATCTGGGCCGACACTATGTTGCTGTCTGGGGTGGGGTGGGTTGTTGTGTGTGTGGCAACTGCAGACATTTGAAGGTAACTCTGAATTGTTACCACCAGAGTAACATGTGAATGCGAATGCTACGTGTGTTCAGGGGTGTGTGAGAAAATGATTGTGTAAAATATGTTTGAGTCCCAAGTGTCTGCAAAATGACAAATAACCATTACAAATCATCTTTATGCCTTCTAGCTTACTGTGATCTTTCCTAGTAGGAAACCACTGTAGGAAACAACATTCCAGTCAATGTAGGTTTAGGTTAGGGCTGAGGTTGAAGCTTTAATCTATCAATCTCATTTCTCTCTGTATTTATGGTTAGTTAAACTTTAAGGTTTGTTTAACAGTGTGTTGTTTCAGGAACAACAAAATATGTTTTGCTTGTCTGTCACTCTCTCACCAAACATAGAGCTAGTCGTATTACACAGATGAACTGAATAATGGACAACTACAATTATTTTGCTCAATCTCAAAACTTTACTGCATAAAAGATCTATGAACATTTATAGAATATATAGCTAGTAATTTCTACTCCTGATTGCAGATTAGTTTAGCATGATTAGCAGATAACTTTAAATCATTAAGGCATGAAAAGGACTGAACTGTAGTGAGTGTGTGAAATGAAAGTTAAGTGCTGACTTGGAAAGACTGAGATGATATTTGTGAAAGAGCTCCAAACCACAGAGGTATAGCAAAATTCATAACAGGATGTGGTCTGTTAGAGGTGCTACTTTACCACCTTTTTTCTTGCTTTTTTGAGTGATCTCTGTAACGGACAGTTTTACTTAAACTAAATATATATTCAACACCTCATAAATGTGAAAAAGGTGCTTGCTGGTCCATTCTTTTCTTAATTTTTAAAAATGAGCATAGTGAGTATATTCTCAGAAAAAAAAAAGAAAAAAAAAAAGCTCTTGCAGTTGTGGCTAGTCACCTGCATACAATACAGGAAGTATATGTGCTTGACACAAAAATACTCTGCTCTAAACATGGGTTTCTCTTCTCTTTTTTGTTTCCTTTTACCATTTTGTATGGATTTGTATGGACTCCATATGGTTTATTTGGCAGTAAGCAAGTACAATTAACATATTTGCATGTTCACGGTTCTCTCATGTTATGAAACATATAAAGCTGCTCGAGGTTTCATTGATATTTCACATGCATTTGTATGCTTACATACATGAGTTATTATGGGGTGCTATAATAACTCACATAAAACACACAAAGCTGCTTGAGGTTTCATTGATATTTCACATGCATTTGTATGTTTACATACATGAATTATTATGGGGTGCTTTTTTTGATGAAAAAGAGAAAATTCACAAGGCAATTCTGTGTCTTCAATAAATTGGGCTTAAATCTTTTTATTATTATTATTATTTTTTTTTTTTAGACTTTTTATCTTTAACCATTTGAATGCCTTTTTTCAGTTTTTCATTTATGAGTTAGCTCTCATGTTTCTTGTGAATACCAGTGGTCATACATATCTAATGCTTAAATAGTCTAACACAGTCTCATCCCAAGAAGTCATATAACTGACGTCTTGGGACGTCTTTTGACCATACGTCAATATCCGCCTTTTTGGGGCCCCCTTAAACGTCGGTAGATGACGATCCCGGGCCGTCATACAACTGACGCTTTACCTTTAACGTCAGTTAGGTGACGGGGTAGGTTTAGGGTTAGGTTTAGGTCTGGGGTTAGTTAGGATCCGATAACGTCATGTACCGACGTTTAAGGGGGCCCTAAAAAGGCGGATATTGACGTATGGTCAAAAGACGTCCCAAGACGTCAGTTATATGTCTTATAGTCATGTTAATTAGTCATAGTCAAGTATTTATTTACAACAACACACAGAAATGTACATTTCTACATTTTGAGAATAGGCTATAATGTTTTGATAAAAAAAAAAAAACTTTTTAGCTAAACTCAAACCTCTGTAAAATGTATCTCAGTATACATTACATTCACATTGGTTTTTAAGACCCCAACTGAATAATAATAATAATAATAATAATATGTTAAACTATAAAAATTAAAACAACTTTATTACTGTTAAGTTACAAATTACAACAGCACTGTAAAAATAATAATATTTGATCATATTAATAAATAATAAATGTATCAAATTAATTAAACCAATCAAGAGCTGCTTGCGTGTGCATCGAACACTTTACACCAGTGGTGTCCAAACATGCTCCTGGAGGGCCACTGTCCAGCAGAATTTAGCTCCAACTTGCCTCAGCACACATGCTGCATCTGAAACATAAAAATGCTGCATGGCAGGATGTATTCCAAGGCAAAACTAGCATGTCCAAATCCAATATTAGCCATAGCATTTGGTAACACTTTATTTTGATAGTCCACTTTAGACATTCAACTAACTATAAGTAACTTTGCCGCTACATGTCAACTAACTATCATTAGAGAATTAGTAGACTGTCAGCTTAATATCTGCTAACACTTTATTTTGTTGGTCCCCCAACAGACATTCAACTGACTGTAAGTAACTTAGCAACTACAAGTCAACCTGTTCTCCTAACCTGAACCCTAACACCTAACTCTAACCTAAACAGTCTACTGACAGTCTACTACAGTCTACTAATACTCTAATGACACTTAGTTGACATGTAGTTAAAAAGTTACTTATAGTTAGTAGAATGTCTAAAGTGACTATCGAAATAAAGTGTAACCTAGCATTTATGTATCCTTATATATGAAGGCAGCATAACTGTATCCTTCGCTGTATTTGATATCCCACAATCCTGTGCTTTCCATTCTGTGACAGTTAAAATATAATGGTAAATGGTAAATGGACTGCATTTATATAGCGCTTTCATAGACCTAATGGCCACCAAAGCGCTTTACATATTGCCTCACATTCACCCATTCACACACACATTCATACACCGACGGCGGTGTCAGCCATGCAAGGCGCCAGCCAGCTCGTCGGGAGCAGCTGGAAAGTTGGTGGTCAGTTTGTTTGTAAATGTTTTTGTAGCACATTTTCCACTTTTGATGTCATTTCTAGAGAGAACTTACTATTTTAGTCATTATTTATATAGTTATCACCGAAGCTCATGTTTCCTTGTTTTAGATGACTAACTCTCGGGCATGAGGTGAATACCAGTGTTAGGCTATTTAGCCAGTATGGGATTTATGGCCATATTTCAGTGACTTGCATTTAATATTAGGATATTGTTTCTTGTGATTTATTTTTGTGATTGACCCATCACTGTTGTCTGCAACGTGACTGAATTGTGTGACATCATCCAACTGTGGTTCCATTTAATTATGTTTTATTTATCTATATTTGATTTTTCTTTCAGGAGCTGGGGTCCCACGGGTGAAGGATCTATTGTAGTAGTGCATTTGCCATGTGACAGTTTTGAAGTGTTTGGTTGTGTGATCTCTTCATGTGTCTGGATGTGACCCCAGCCCTGTAGGTTGGTGTAGTTTGTTTTGATGTTATTCTTTACGTGAGTTGTGTAAATATTAGTTTATGTATTTTTTCAGTTCTTGTTTGTTGTTTCTGATTATTTGAAACAGAGTTGCCAGCCACACAGGAAAAGTTTATTCACGTTACCTTGTGTAAACATTGCGGGATGACAAGGTAACGCTTAAGTAGTTATTGAGGAGTTAACATGTTTTTCACAAATGATACAAGTTATTTAATTTTATATTTGACACATACTATACAGGTTCTGTGAGGCACTAATATTCTAACAAACTGTAATCTGGAAGATGTGGTTTTGGGCTTATCTTAACATAAATGCAGCCAATTTCTTCATTAAAGATACAAATTGTTTTTGACAAGCGAACATCAATGTTTATATTCATGTCCTAAAGAGAAGTCCTCCTCAGGCAGCTACACTCTAAAAAATGCTGGGTTGTTTTAACCCAATTTTGGGTCAAATATGGACAAACCCGAAATGTTGGGTTAAAAATGTAATGTAAAAATTTAACCCAACGGCTGGGTTAGTCCATATTTGACCCAAAGTTGGGTTAAAACAACCCAGCATTTTTTAGAGTGTACTGTAACATAAAGTTATAGGTCTTTGGAGTCTGAGATATATGTGACTGACATTCAATAGAGCTCATAATAGTGAACTAATCCAATCATGAGAGTGTCAGCATCACTTCCTAATTATTTAAGGTTTATTTTTAAAAACTGTCTTTATTTGGATTATTTTATGTTTAAGTTTTAAATAAACAGAGAACATGTGTCCATCCTGGCAAGAGTAGTGGTCACAATCTCAACCTAGCTAATGTATTTGGGGGGATGTATAAACTTCATAAACTGGTTTCCACAAAGAACCCATTTGAGGCACATGGTTCTGAAATGTTATGACCATGTTAAGAGTATAAAACCCCCACAATTGTTCACTTTTTAGACATGTTACTTTTGTGATTAGTAATTAATTGGTTATTATTTCTTAGTTCACAAGTAGTTCTCAATGAGGATATATTTCGTTAGTAACAATCAAATACCTACCAAGCAACTACCTTTGTACTAAACTACCTATTACTTAATGCTTAGTTAATATTGCTTCCATATTAGTTAATAGTATTAACTTCGGTGTTAATGCAGTACTACCTATTACTTCCTGCATAGCTACTTGTTAACTACGGACCATTATTTTAAAGTGTTACCAAAAGATTTATTTATGGAGAAGAGAAAAACACCCAAGTGTTTGGGTGCACGTGCTGAAAAGTTTATGAGCGCGCTTCCCGTGAGCGCATAATGAGCGCGCTTCCCGTGCGTGCGCCTATTTGAAATAACGACCTCGAGCGCGCAAAATACGCGATACGTGAACTAATCTAGAGACCCTCTTGACATCGCTTCTGTGAATGGCTCCTTCTCAGCAAGCAGGGGCACCATTGCCAATAATTGAATCAAAATGATAAAAATAGAAAACCTTCGCGGCACAGAGGATTTATTTAACTGCTCGTGCCACCCCCCAGAAATGCCGCCCCGGGCGACTGCCCATGTCTAAACCCCGTGTCTAAAACTGCTACTGACAACGCGGCACCTATCACTCTATACATATATAAGCTCCTTCAGTATTTATCAGCAGCTATCACGTTTCTCAGGAGCTAATAACCCAACTCCATCCCCAGCTCTTCCTCTCTGATGAGTCAGTATGGCATTCTGATTCCCTTGAATCAGAATAAATTCTTGAATGATGTTGTACTTTAACATCTTGAATTAACCATATCTGCAAATACATTCATGTTGGTTCTGTTCTGTTTACTCTAAGGGGGGTTATTGCTGCTCATCCATGCTTGGCTGCACAGACCATACCGCCAATCTGTATGCAATTGACAATCGTATTGTTAAATAGTGGTCCTGACATAATGACTCCTGATAGCTAGCTGCATTGACCCTGCCCTTGATAAAACACAGTGGACCAACACCAGCAGCTGACATGGCACCCCAGACCATCACTGATCACTGACTGTGGGTACTTGACACTGGACTTCAGGCATTTTGGCATTTGCTTCTTCCCCAGTCTTCCTCCAGACTCTGGCACCTTGATTTCCGAATGACATGCAACCACTGAGCAACAGTCCAGGGCTGCTTCTCTGTAGCCCAGGTCAGGTGCTTCTGCCGCTGTTTCTGGTACAAAAGTGGCTTGACCTGGGGAATGCGGCATCTGTAGCCCATTTCCTGCACACGCCTGTGCATGGTGGCTCTGGATGTTTCTACTCCAGACTCAGTCCACTGCTTCCGCAGGTCCCCCAAGGTCTGGAATTGGTCCTTTTTCACAATTTTCCTCAGGGTCCGGTCACCACTTCTCGTTGTGCAGTGTTTTTTTGCCACACTTTTTCCTTCCTACAGACTTTCCACTGAGGTGCCTTGATACAGCACTCTGGGAACAGCCTATTTGTTCAGAAATT